AATGAAAATTAAACAAACCCTTTAATTTTTGTACATTCAAAATGCTACACAACAGAAGTTTACTGTGTAACGAGCAATGTCACAGAATTCGTCAAATATTGAATGAATAAATCAAATACAATTCAGTACACTTAAATCAAACCGCGATATGGACTAGTGTATGTGAATATTAAATGGCAAAAATACTATTTAGCTACTACAGACGACAACCGCGAGCGTTGCGCGTGCTTAAATAGCAAACGAAACGCGTGTCTGCGTCACATTCCGTAAATTCCGTTTTCATGAATAGATTCCGGGATTCCGTCCCCATTTTCTACATCGCCCTACTTTTGCTAAGAAGCACGTTCAACGCGGACGCACAGACGGTTGTCGTGATAATGAACACCACAGCAACCACTTGTGCGTCCGCACTGAACGCGCATCTCGCATATAAAAAGCATTTTAGGGGGCCCTTGGCTTTTGGGGGCCCAAGGCAGTCGCCTACCTTTGCCTAATGGTTAAGTCCGCCTCTGGTTTCCACCCCCATGTTTTATGTTCTTTGGTCTATATTATATTTCTACAAAAAAAAAGCCCGAATCTATCTGGTAGCTTACTGGAAATGCACAGACAGACAGGTATGCGAATACCTTGAGCAGGCAAGCGCGTACACGTCGTTATGGCGAAACGGGGGGAAATAACCTGAAGCACTAATGTCACGTTACCTCGGAAGAATAAAACGCTGTCTTTGTTTTTTAATGACACGGAGATAAGATGAAAACCAGGAGAAAGAAATCATTCAGAGCCGTAAAGTGCACGTTATTTGTGTTTTGCTACATCTTCTGGGTAAGAGTGTGTCTTGTAATCAATGTAGCATATGCTGATTTATGGAGCAGCAATGTGTTTTGTGTTTTTTTTCTTTCTTATTTATTGCATAGGGTGAATTCAGGTAAAGTGGGTCGTTTAAGCTTGATTATACTTTGCTCAATGGGTTTACACTTTCAAAGCATAAAATTGTCTTACATTAAAGAGACACTTTCTTTAAAATGCTAAAATAGTTTTGGCTGATTCTTTATGACACTGGTGATTGTGACTACACTTCAAAGGACGACTCCCTCATCATGAACACGAAAATGTAAACAAATATTATTGTGACAGTATTATTTGTCACTTCAGTTAACATGGATTAAAATTAAATATAT